TTATAAACAAGATTAACTTACTTGTTGTGAGGTTAAAAGTCACTTGTCTAGAGCATGTCCATATTGTAAAAGTCATTATCACAGTCTCTCAAATTGCCACTTGAGATTTGAAAGGGACACTTGCAGCACTACTCAGTGCTGTAAACTCCGAGCCTCTGAGGAGGATGAAGCATGCATCATTCTTGGGCTGTATTCCAAAGATCTATCATGTGAGGGAAAAAACAAAGAGCTATCCATATGTGTTTGAAACATAACTGCTGTCTTCCTTCTGCGTTCTAAATGGGCTTGCTGAGCTAGAAGCGGAGGAAGAAGGATAGAGAGGTGGCTCCACCAAGAGCCTTGGGCCTTACTGCCTTGAACACCTTGCTGTCTTGGCACCTCCATTATGGCTTTCTCCAAACAATTAGGGTGCCCAGGCTTGAACTAAAATGCATGAAAGGTTTTCAGTAGAGGTTTTATACTAGAAATATTTCCCTTTCTCATCCTAAAGTAAGTTGGCAACAGGTCGTCTTCCTTCCCCATGCCCAAACCTTGATTTGCATTCCCTTTCCATGATAAACTCCTTCTGGTGAAGTCTCTGCAGGCATAGATGATTTACCAGGCTGCTGACTCCTGCCTCTCCACTTTGTCTGCCTGAAAAAGCCACTTGAGAAGGGCTTGAGTACCTCCCTGTGGCCTTGGGGATGGGACATGTATGGGCCTTCTCCAGTGCGGAATAACAGACCCACCTGCTCATAACCTCTGCCCCTGGTCACCTAAGATGAGCTTGCCTCTTCCTGAAGGAGAATGCCTTAGACCATGTCTACAATACCACCCTGATCTCTGAAGCTAAGTAGGGTCAGGCCTGGTTAGTACTTGGATGAGAGAATGCATTGCTGAGTTCTGTCCATTTGAAACTCTGCTCTTCAGGCCTAGGGTTTCCCCTAGGGCAGTTTTAAACTCGTGTTCTGTTGCGTTACTAAGCCGTATTATAGTTACACCTGAATAAGCAGCCTGACTCTTTACTTTTAAGAGTAGACCCGAACTCAGAGGGCACCGTTTCTCCAGATGTCTCCTGTAACTGTGCTCCCAAGCCTGACCTCACCTATACTTTTATTCAAAATTGTTTCTCTAGCATCCATTGGGGAACTACAGACTTGGATCCACCCTTACCAGACAATCTTGCCCTCTGATCCCTAGGCCTAAAATATCTCACACACATTCATTCTTCTCAATTCTCACTGCATCCAATGAGGGTATGAATATAAATATGCTATGTTCAGTGCTTTGATTTGCTAATTCAAGCACAACCATATTCATTCACTATCTTGGGTGGAGGGCAAAGTGGGGCTCTGAGGGATCAAGATCAGGTGTCCAGTCACAAGAGCACATGGCTCAGTGAGCTTATTTGCATTATAAACAGTAGCTTTTTGGTTGTAAGATTATATAAAAGTTCTTAGTCCAGATTCCACTTTGCAAAAGTCATTCCTACAGTGTTCACAGTGGGATTTTAGAGCTTCTGTAAAATCTTATGCCAAGTTTTGTGTTTGAATGTTGCCTTCATATGTTCTTTCTGCTCCACAAAAAGGCAAAGAGCAACCAATCTGAGCTGGACATGGTAGCACATTCCTATCAATCCTAGAATTTGGGAGCCTAAGGCAGGAAGATGGAGTCTTCCAGGGTGGTCCCAGCTACATCATAAGCGCCTATCAAAAAAAGAAAGAAAGTGAAGAGCCAGTCTGAGTCATCTTAATTCCCTCGAAATCTAGCTACAAGACAAAGAGCAAATGACAAAATCTTACAACTTTCTTGCTGAAGGTCAGTTACCTTCTGAGAATCCTCCTAAAATCTACCTGCCAAATGGACCTTTGGCCCAAGAACATATAAAAAAGGCCAAAGCACACATGATAAGATGCTCTCTGCCAGCAGTCATGGGGAAATGTAGATTAAAGCCTCAGTGTTATAGGCCCTAATGTTATATGCCTCCAGTACAATACTCATTAGAAAGACTGACAATGCTAAATATCTGGAATAAGTGGAACTCATATTTTTCAGGGGATGGGGTTTGGACAAAAATGGGAAACCAAAATGATGCAGCCACTTCAAATAACAGTTTGGCCATTTTTAAATAAAATTAAGTATATATTTATCCTACAACCTGCAATTAAGTCTACTCCCAGGTATGCAACGAAACCATCTGATCACACAAAGACCTGGAAACAGTTATTTATAGAAGCTTTTTTCAGAATAGCCCCAGATTAGAAACAACAAAAATGCACTTTAAATGTGAATGGGTAGACCAATTGTGATATATCCCTACAGTGATACACAGCAATAAAAAGGAATTGACTCTTAGTACATCAACAGAGACAATTCTCAGAAGAATTACACTAAGGAGCCAGACATAAGAGACTACATACTCTCTAGTTCCATACTTAAGACCCTCTAGAAAAAGCAAAACTAAGATAACAAAAATCCCATCCGTGGCTGTCAGGAATGGGAGGGAGACAGCACAAGGGAACTTTCTGGAATGATAAACTAGCTCTGTTATCTTGATTATGATGGTGGATACACAGTTAAATACATGTGTTAAAACTCATGAAATCATGTACTTAAATAGTTGCTTATGGCAACTCTTCATCAGTAGAGCTTGTTAAAGCAAACTGCTTGCAGAGCACCACTTTTCTTTGTACACAGAGCAGTACAAACATGGGACACCTTTGAAGGATACAAGATCTCCGACTTGGGGTTCACACATCATTTTATGATTTACTTCATTTGGGGTTTTTTTGTTTTGTTTTGACAGGGTCTTCCTAGTCCCAGTCTGCCTGGAACTCACTATGTAGGCCAGGCTAGGCTCTCACAGAGATCCGCCTGCCTTTGCCTCCTGAGGGCTGGGATTAAAGGCATGTGTCACCACACCCAGCAATGATTTATTTACTTCATATATTGAACGCTTCTTTATTCCTAGTTTCCTATTCCCACAGGCATTCTTTCAGTTCATAGTTGCTTCTATCTTTCCCCATCTAAATGTGGAGCCAGGGGATGAAATGAGTACTGCAATGTCCATTGGGGGCTGGTTCTAGTCTAGGTTTTGTAAAGCCACTGCAAGGTTTGGAGAGATAGAAGAGGGGAAAAGACATCTGAAACAGACTGAAATAGAACAGAGGCAGTATAGAGGGTTCTGTTCAGAGAGTGACACGGGCAGATTTAGGCAGGAACCAGATGTAAGATTATGAAAGAGAACAGTGTTCAAAGAACACCCCTGGTCCAAGCCTTAGAACAGAAACTCCTGAGCACTCCATATCCGGCTTTTCATGGTCTCCTTCCCATCTATTCATTGCCTTTGGCAGACTCTCACTCAATCAAAAGCTCCTTAAGCACACACAGGCTTATCAGGACTCCATAAAGGTGTGCTATTTAACACCAGATGTCAGTGCATAACAGTTCATTGTTTGCTCTCCTGCTGAAGGATATTTTATGCTATCTCTGTTTTGGGTATTGGAGGCAAATCTGCTCTAAACATTGTTGTACAGGTCTCTGTGGCTATACCCCTCCTTTCTCTTGGGTAAATACTGGTAAGTTTGGCACATTCACAGAATGGATTGCTACTTGGTGAAAAACAACATAAACATGCAACAACACAGGGGAACGTCAATAGAATTATTCTGAGTAAAAAAACCAGTCCCTTCCACAAAAGACAATACATATGATTATTACATTTATTTTAAAAATCCCAGGAAAAGCAAGCAGATCTTACAACAACAGCAGAAGAGCAGCTACAGGGCTATGGAGCTGGAGGTCTGGATTACAAAGACCTGCAAGAACTTGATGGTGGTGGGGGAGGGATCTGTTCACTGTGATGGTTTTTCTGTTGTGTATGCATATCAGAGATATCAAATTGTACATGTTAAACGTGCAGCTTATTGTTATGTCAAATATACCTCAAACTGTTAAAAAAAAAAAAAGGCTGGTTGAAAAAGCAGCAGCAGGCTCTCAGTAAATGTATGTAGAATCAAAGTGTTCGAGGTTGGTCAAAGCAAAGCAGGCACTGAGTAAATGTTAGTGGAATTACTGTGACGATAAAGTGAATAAATATCAGATATAATTTTGGAATGAATGAACCAACTTGACAAATATTTAATGTTTATCGTATGCTGGGCACTATTCTAGAATCTCAGCACCGACCAATAATCCCTGCCCTTTGAGAGCTCCGATCAAAGGGTAGCGGGTGAAAACGTGCTAGGTAGAGGCGAAGGGACGTGCAGAACAGAGAAGCGGGAAGGGAAGGAGGCTGACATTTCAGTGTGGCCGCCCTCCTTGAAAGAGGGGGACGAGAAGGGAGCGGAAGATGGAGGTCTGGGATGAAAAGCAACTGTTAGAGATGCTGAAGAAACGTACGGGCCAGAGCCGAGGGAGCTTTCCCTAAGGACCGTGACGCCGCAGCCCGAGCGCCGCGCCGTAGCCCCCGAGGAGGCGCGCCACCATCCGCCCCGCAGCCGCCGTACGCAGCCCACCGGGGCTGAGCACGCGCAGAAACCGCTAGGCGGCGTCGGTTTCCCTCCTCACACTCGACCGTCGCAGTGGGCAGCCGCGGCCAGAGCGCCTGCGCGTGCGCAGAGCCGAGTAGGGCAGCCGAGGGGCGGGGCACAGCGGGGCGGGGCGGAGCGCGGCGGGGCGGGGCTTTAGGTGATTCCTGAGCCGCCAAGGCTGCTTTAGTCGAGCCTAGGAAACCGAAAGTGGGCGGCGGCCGCAGCGGGGGCCCTGGCGGAGGCGGCGGCGGGAGCCCGGGACGAGGTGAGCGCAGGTCCGGGCGCGGCAGGTGCTGGAGACGCCGGGCGAGGTGTGGGGCTCGGGCGGGAGGGCGGCCGGGCGCTGCGCCACAGGCCGGGGGCCTCGTCCCGGCCGCCAGCCCGGACGCCACCGGGAGTTGGGGTTCCAGAGCGCGGTGTGTTAAAGCTGCCCACGCTGGGCGTTCACCCGGGAGCCGGACGCTCCTCAGGCTGCCTGGGTGCAGCGGAGAGATGCAGCGGGGGGCGTGGACGGCGCGCAGATGCGGACCAGGAAATGGTTCCCGGGGTGCGACGGGCCGCGGCGGCCGGGCCAGCAGTGACCGAGCTCCGCCAGCTGTTGGAGCCCATGGACCGCACCATGGCGGTCTCTCCTCTCCAGACGAGCCGGTGCAGGCCGCGCAAATAAGGCAGGATCTATCTGCACGTAGCCGTTCCTGTCAACTGTGAGCGCCGGGAAGGAAACACGCATCCACGAAGTTGTCTCCTAGGATCACACGCTCCACCTCCGCTTGCGGGACTGAACTGGGAGCGGGCACCTCTTTTCTGCTCCCATCCATTTGAGGGGTATTTATATTTCCATTAATATCCGAGGCTACCACTCCCAAGTCATTTCAGGAAGTAGGGAAGGGAGAGTGTGTTAAGCAAAGTCCAGTCCCAAAGGATTCTGATTACACCAAAACCAAACCAAAGTGATTACTAATTTGGTTCAGACCTACCTCAGCTTTGACAATTCGCAGAAAAGTGTTCTTGAGGTTAGCAATGTAGTGACAAAATGGAATTTAGATCCAAAGCCCCATCTCTTCCCAGGCTGCCTGACGTGGATTAATGTATTACATTCTACAGTGTGGGCTTTGCAGATCTAAATTGGAATCTGGACTTCTCAGCTTACTGTGAGATCGTCAATAAATTATACCCTTTCTCTGAGCCTGGTTTTCATATATCAAATGGAAATATTTAACTTAACACTGTGAGGTATTTTCAGGATAATCACTGTAAATCCTTTGGATCATCATAATACTCTCTCCCTTTTACCAAACTTCCCATATTTTACATTATTGGATTTCAGGGTTTTTTGGTTTTTTTTTTTTTTTTTTTTTTTTTTTTTGAGAATGGAGACACACAAATCTTTACTGATATAGCATAAAATGGCACATGGTGGAAATCTTTGTAGTTGCACCCAATTGACATAAAATTGAGCTTCAGTTGAAAGCACTGTGCTGATGTGGAACCCACATCTGTACCCTTCTCCAGGGCTCTTTGGTAAGATCCCCTCCTTGCTAAGACAGTGAGGCAGCCCTTGGCAGTGCCTTCCGATTTTAGTCCCTGAGGATTGGAAGTGAAATGTAATCCCTGCTAATACTCTTTTAAATGTGCTGCTGAAAATTGGCTGAATGAACTATTGTGTTTTACATCAAGAGATTTAAACTCCTTGAAAGATCTTTCAAGTTTTCTTTCCAATATAGTTGGCTTGTTTAATAGAAATGTAAAGGAAATATACTTTATAATCCAGTTCTGAGTGCCTATTTTGTGTTTGATGAAGTGCGAATAGAGAGAATTGGAATTTGAATTGGAGAAAATGTTTTGTGCCTGGCTTTCATGGGTCAGAAGTTTCTTGGTGCTTGGAGTGAATCTGACTTTCATATTGGTTTTTCCTTCTTTGGGCTAAAACTTGCCTTTTCTTCCCTCCACTCCCATCTCTGTGCTTTTTGAAAACCTCATTCTTTTCATTATTTCCCCATGAGCCAAATATTTTGTCCGTCTTTTCAAACAAATTAAAAGTGCTTAGTTTTGTAATTTTTAGTTGAAGTGAGTGTGTGCCAGTCAGAGCCTCTGACCAACCTAGATAATCTAGTGTCATTTCCAAGCAGACTTGAGATTTTAGCCTGCACAGCTAAAATCTTGTCATCGAGCAAGCAGACCCATAATGCCATTGGAACTTTGGATCCCATTTCAGCCTTAAAGGAATCTGAGGAGAGCTGAGTTGATGGCTCTTGTACACTCTCCTTATCTACCACATGAAGAAAGAGACTGAAGTGAATTGCCCAGAAAGGCACACGCAATTAGTAGTAGAACTAGGGTTAGACCCAGATTCCTGGCCGAGTCTCTGATCATTTCAGAGTTTTTTCCTCTAGTGTGTGGAGGGTTTTATAGAAGATTTTATAGAAATCCCTTACATATTATTTTCAAGGTATGTAGAGACCAAATGAGTAATTTCAAATTTAAAATGACAAGAATAGAAAACTGCTTCTTAAAAAACTCTTAAGGAAGTATACACCACCAGAAGATAATTACTGTCTCTCCTTTAAAAACAAAACAAAACAAAACTGGTTGTTGGTGGAGTTATTTAGGTGGCATGCAGGTTAACTGTTACATTATCTACTTAACACACTGGGAAGAGGGAACCTCAGTTGAGGCATTGTGTCCATCTGATTGGCCTGTAGCCATGTCTTTGAGGCATTTTCTTCATTGTGGAGTGATGTGGAGGGGTCCAGCCCATTGTATGTGGTACCACCCCAGGGGCAGGTGTTCCTGGGTTGTATTAAGAAAGCAGGCTGAGCACAGGCCAGAGGAACAAGCCAGTAAGCAGCATTCCTCCATGGTCTCTGCTTCAGGTCCTGTTTCCAGATTCCTATCTGGGCTTCCCTCAAGGATGAACTATATCAGCACATGTAGGCCAAATAACCCTTTCTTCCCCGCATAGGTTTTGGTCGTTGATTTATCACAGCAATAGGAAGCTGACTAGAACAGGTGGCAACAGGTAGACTGCAAAATTGGAAAGAAAAGATAGCATGCTAAACTGCTGCATTCTGGGCGTGGTGGTGCATGCCCGTGATCCCAGTACTCTGGAGGCTGATGAAAGGCTGTGTAGGGAGACCCTGTCTTTAATTTTATTTTAAAATACACCTTGCAATGTGAGAAATTGCTGGGTGGGGATCTTACATAAAAAGGTTTCCTTTTGAGGCTGTTTATTGCTTTGTAAGATGAAGGCTTGAGTTAGCCTAGGTGATGTCTAAAATCTTTCACTGTAGACATTCTGGAGCTTTCCTTGTTGCTAAAATAATGTCTTAAGAAGAGTATACCAGTTACCAGAAGTATAGACTCTTAACAAGTGTCCAGACTTCCACACTGAGCAGCCAGCTAAGCACATAAGAGAGTTTGCCCTAGCAATTCTTTGGGCTTATTTGGGAAGTTAGAATTCATGACACGAGCAATGTCATGAGGAAGATGAGACAAATAATAGAGATAGTTGAGAAAAAAGAAACTTAGCACAAGAAAAAATAGATGAGAGCCAGACTAGTTCCACTACAAGCCTGTGGACACCCATAACTACTGCATCCAAGTGACTGTATGAGGGATACCCAGTCAGTGAGAGAGCATCAGAGAGCATCTGTTTAGAATATATCAAAACCACATGCTCAAGACTGGTGAATCCCAACACATGGGAGGCAGAGGCAGGAGGATCCCAGATTTGAGGCTATCCCGAGCTACATGGTGAAACCATCTCAAACAAAAAAAACCTCCACAGATTCTTCAAAATAACTTTGTTGTTTTCAGATATATTAAAGAAAAAAGGAAAATTTACAAAATAGTTTGCAAATGCAATGAGAATTGTTTTAGGTGTTTAAATTATTTAAATTTAGGGCTAACAACAATTAGTTCAGCAGCAGAGGACTTGTTTTACATGCAGAAAGTCATGGGCTCGCCTTATAGCACCGCAGAAAGAAATATAATCACACTTTATTTCCCTAAAAGGTATCATTGCTCACCTGCCCCTACTCCCTGCTGTTTCTTACACAGTATTAGTATCTTGAGGCATTCACAGTGAAGTGTGTAGCAAAGAGAAAGGAGAAAGAATGAAAGGTTAAAAGGAACAGGCAGGTATCACCGTTGAGTTTTTGTAACAGGTGGTATTCTGTTGGAATGTGGTAGGTTCCTGTTTCCAGTTTTAAGGGCTCATCACTAAGCATGTTTCCAGATTATTAGTATTCTCTGTATCAGTTCCTCCATCAGAAACAACCTCCTGAAAGAAAGGCCTAGTTTGGAAGTCAGGAGACCAGAGGTTTTTTTAAAAAAAAAATATGTGAGAGCTAGAATACTTACCATGGGCCCCAGTGTCCTCATTTTTTGTGCGTATATAGTGCTCCTTTGTGTGTGTGGGGGGGTGTATACACATATACACATATGTACATGTGCATTATAGGCTAGAGGTCAGCGTTGGGTGCCTTCCTCTGTCACTCTCCACTTTATATTTTGAGACATCCCTGAACATGGGGCTTGCTGATTCTGCTAGATTGGCTGGCCAATGAATCCCGGGGATCCTCCAGCCTCCATCTCCCCATTGCACTGAGTCTGCAGACACAAGCTCCTGTTCTAGGCTCTTTAAACGGGTGCTGGCATTTGAGCTCAGGTCCTCATGTTTGTGGAGCAGGCACTTTACTGAGTAAAGGCGCCTGCTAGCATTCTGTGCTTCTCCCAGCTCCTCATTCTGGATTGGGTCCATGTCCTATGCTGTCCAGAGATACACTGGGTCTGGGGAATTGGATTTTGCAGGGACTCTGCTCTAAGAACCTTTGCCAAAGCATTGAGTCAGTTTTTGCCTAGTGTTAGGAGAGAAATCATAGAGATCCACCAACTTTCTCATCAAACCTGTCAGTTCATGAGTGTGTTTATGAGGCCAGTAAGAAAACCTAGACAGCTTCTGATATTTTGGATAAATACCGAACTAGCGATGTCTCAAGTTTGTGTCATTCTACTCTTAGGCAGTTAATAGACTTATTCACAGACTATTTCCCATACATACCATGCTTCTAGGAAAATTTGTTGATGAACTACCGAAGGCCACACACTTTACTAAAGTGTATGTAATGCTGGTTGGGTGCTTCTGTTCAGCATGAGAGGTACAGAAAAGGAGGAGAGAGTAAGAGGAAGTGCACACCTGCCGTCTGTGTCGGAGTCCTTCCTCGTGGACAGGACTTTGCTAGCTGACTTTGTGACTAATAGTTGTCCACACCCATTTCCAGTTCACACTGGTGTTTAGGAGTCATTTAGCTAACAGAGTCCGCATGCTGCCTGGGCAGCCCATGCAGTGTTGACCTGGGGATCTGTGATCTGAAACAGAGGTGTCCCACCCCATTGCTCCCCACCTAGCCTGACTTGTCACCGGGGCTAGCAGGATAGTCTCAAGACTCAAGGTGAAAGTCATTTGAATTCACTTCAACCCAAAGGCATATCTGCCACAGCATTCTGAATATAAATAAGGAGGAGGGTTGGAAGATTTTTTTCTATTTCCAAACAATATTTTAGAGAAGGAATGCCTAAAATTTTCACATTTAGGGCACTCAAAAGTTGACATTTCCATGATAACCTAACCTTTGTACTTATAATGAATAATGCCCAAGATTTTTTTAAAAAAGCTTGATTTCTATAGAGAAATATTCCTGTATACCTGAAGGGTGTAATTGCCATATTCAGAAAAATCTCAGAAATGAGGCAGGGGAGGATGACTAAGGATTTAGCCAAAACTTAGAACATTTTAAAGCACTATATGTTAGAAAATATTATTT